TGTTGCATATCAGTGCCGCTTATCAGTGCCCATCATTGTTGCATATCAGTGCTGCCTATCAGTGCCCATCATTGTTGCATATCAATGCCAGATCATCAGTGCCCATCATTGCTGCATATCAATGCCAGCTCATCAGAGCTGCCTATCAGTGCCACCTCATCAGTGCCCATCATTGTTTCATATCAGTGCCAGCTCATCAGTGCCTCTCAGTGCTGCTTATCAGTGCCCATCATTGCTGCATATCAGTGCCACCTATCAGTGCCCATCATTGTTGCATATCAGTGCCAGCTCATTAGTGCCACCTATCAGTGCCCGGCAATGCCACCTATCAGTGCCCATCATTGTTGCATATCAGTGCCAGCTCATTAGTGCCACCTATCAGTGCCCGGCAATGCCACCTATCAGTGCCCATCATTGTTGCATATCAGTGCCGCCTATCAGTGCAGGGGAGGGTCAAACTAGGATGCTGCGCAGGCAACTGACATCCTCCCGATCAACGGACGATGTCATTGGTTGTAAGGACGCCGGCGGCTAGAAGGTCGTAACAATGCGCAATGAAAACATGTGGCTTTGTGTAACGAAAAGGCAGACTTGTTCCGCTCACTGGCTGGTATACAAGTTTTGGGCAATTTTTAGAAACTTTGACAAGGGACCCCTGAAGAAACCTCAAGGCACCCCTGAAGAGTCCTCAAGGCACCCCTGAAGAGTCCTCAAGGCACCCCTGAAGAGTCCTCAAGCCACCCCTGAAGAGTTGACAAAGGTTGAGAACGGCTGCTCTAGAACAATTGCTGAGGATAAATAGAATACAAAAACACACCACCTCTAGGATTTACAGAGTCCTTACTGAAACGGAGGGCTCGGCCCCCCAAACATTTTTTTGAAAAGTGGAAAACAGAGCTTGGAACAAAATCGAATGAGCAACAAAAGAGTAAAATGTTTGGTTTAATGCAAGGAGCGGTGAGCGCGCACAGGCAATGGATGCGGGGGGATGTTTAGAAACGTCCACCCGCATCGACAGCGCTCCCGTCCGGCCATTTATCAGCAATGGGGCGGACAGGAAGAGGTTAATTGGTGTCACTGTGTTTTAGGTAAAAACAAAAAGCGCACTATTGTTTCTGGGCTGTACTACGGGTACAAACAGCAAATAACGTACACATATATGGTATCACTGCAATCGTCAAGAGCTGGAGAATTTATTTTGGGTTGTTCTTTGGTGGTAGGTTATGGTAGTAACAAGAAACACACAGCTACATTTAAAAAAATATATTTTTTTTTACTATTTTGGGCCGGTTCTCCTTTGATAATAATAATAAAAAAAGAAATCAGGAGATATCCATTCCTATTTACCAAAATGTATTCACCTATTTTTTTATTAAAAAAACAAAACAAAAACAAATTAGTTTATAACCAAAAATTATAATTTTTCACAAAATGTTTTTAACCCCCTCCCGCCTGCCATATAAGGAAATGACGGGCGCAAGGCGGTTCTCTCATTCTGGGAGGACGTCATATGATGTCCTCCCATTCTAACCATGCGTGCGCAGCTCCAGGGGCACGCAGTGCGGTGATCGGTGGTGCGATGTGTCCCTCGAACACAGCGGATCACCGATCAACGGAAAGAGCTGAAGACGTCGGCTCTGTCATGTGATCAGCTGTGTCCAATCACAGCTGATCGCATGTAAATAAGGAATTGCCGGTTATCGGCATTCCTCTCCTCACGAGCTGTCACGCTGACAGAGGAGAGGAGAGCCGGTAATCGGCATCCCTCAGAGATCAGTGTAGCCCCAGCAGTGCCACCTGTCAGTGTCCATCAGTGCCACATCAATGCCACATATCAGTGCCTACCAGTGCACATCAATGCCACATATCAGTGTCCATCTGAGCTGCCTTTCAGTGCCACCTATCAATGCCAGTCAGTGCTGCCAATCAGTGCCACCTATCAGTGCCATATATGAGCGCTGCCTTTCAGTGCCACCTATCAATGCCAGTCAGTGCCGCCTATCAGTGCCCGTCAGTGCCACCTAACAGTGCCAGTCAGTGCCGCCTATCAGTGCCATATATGAGTGCTATCTTTCAGTGCCCATCAGTGATGCCTGTCAATGCCCATCAGTGCTACCTGCCAGTGCCTCCTCATCAGTGCAGCCTATCAGTGCCCATCACTGCAGCCTCATTAGCGCACATCAGTGAAGGAGAAAAATCACTTATTCACAAAATTTTATAACAAAAACTAAGAAAACACTTTTTTTTCCCAAAATTTTCAGTTGTTTTTGGTTTGTTTAGCAAAAAAAAAAAAAAAAACCCCGAGGTGATTAAATACCACCAAAAGAAAGCTTGATCTGTCTCAAAAAAATTATAAAAATTTCATATGGGGACAGTGTTGTATGATCGCGCAATTGTCAAAGTGCGACAGTGCTGAAAGCTGAAAATTGGCCTGGGCAGGAAGGGGGTATAAGAGGGGTTAAAAATGTTATTTTGGGCCAGGTTTCCTTTGATAATATTAATATAAAAAAAAAAAAAGGTAAATATCCATTCCCATTTACCAAAATCTATTCATGTATCTTTTTAGTAAAAAAAAAAAAATAACCCAAATTAGTTTATAACCAAAAATTATAATTTAAAATGTTTTTTTTTTTTTTAATTTTTATTTTGGGCCAGGTTTCCTTTGATGATGATAATAATAATAAAAAAAATCAGGAGATATCCATTCCCATTAACCAAAATGTATTCATCTATCTTTTTAGTAAAAAAAAAAAATAAATTACCCAAATTAGTTTATAACCAAAAATTATTCATTTTTCAAAAAACTTTTTTTACATTTTTATTTTGGCCCAGGTTTCCTTTGATGATAAAAAAAAAAAATCAGGAGATATCTGTTCCAATTTACCACTAAATGAAAGCCCAATTTGTTTAACCTCTTCACTCCCGCCGTCTGGGCCTAGATGCTGAGCGGCCCGCACCAGGGGCGGACTGACAACTCCCCCGGGCAATAGGAGATCATGGGGCCCCTGTGTCCTTGCCCAAACTCAAAAAAGCCTATGAAAAAGGTACCAGGGGCATCTCATGGGGCCCCCTACTGACTCCGGGCCCTCGGGCAGTGCCCAAGTATCCAAATGGTCAGTCCGCCCCTGTGCCGCACATTTGCGTTCAGGTAAGAAAAAAACATATGTGCTGAGAGCGCGCACCCTGCACACATGTCCAGTACTCACAGAAAGGTCCCGATCTCCTCTTTCGATCGGGACCTTTCCCGATCATGTGACCGCCGTGACGATGTGTCACAGCGGTCTCATGATCGCCTAAACCACACCCATCCTGCCCTCCCGGCTTCTGAAACTCTTCAAGGGCCAGGAGGCGCCGGCATGAAGGGGTTAAAAAAACCCCGCGGTATAATCCACCTGGATGTACAAAGTAGCTGCGATGATATGTACGATTTTACAAACACAGATCAAAGTTGCAAAATTTTACTTAGGCATTATGCTTTGTTTTGCCCTTAGATGTGAAGGGGTCAAATAACCGTCTCCTGACATTTAGGGGTCTGTTCATAAAAAAAACTGACAAGTCAATTGGTGAAAGTGCATGTACATCCCTTCTGTGTGAATGGAGGGAAAAAAACTAAGAAACCAGGCCTGACATAGTGAAATAAGGAGTCAATAAGCAGAACGTTTGTTGGTCGAGTGTGTTGAGCATTTGCCCGGCTGTAAAAAAAAAAACAAATTCAGGCCATAATTTAATTAACCTCGTGATTTCCTATAATATTCAGCTCCATCTAGTGGCCGTAATGGGGCATTTGTTTCCTGAAATACCTCCATCAGCAAAAACAGAGCAATACCGCATTCTGGCCACAGATGGAGCCATCGGTCATAGGAAATCAGTGTATGAAATATAAAAACAATCGACATTTGTCATGGTTGGGTGAGTGTTGGTCACATTCGTTTAATTAATTTTTTATAACAACTTTAAGCGTTTGTGAAATCTCCACCACAAAATGTACTCAGCCAATGAAAGGTGAGGACTCCATTTTTATTCTTCTGCTATCAATGTCCAACCCGGTCCCACACTTCATCCATGTCTTTGGTGACCTCTGACCTCCTTATGAACTGTTTCTTCCATGATGAAGATCAGCCATGGAGTATATCTGAGGTGTATATCAGGGTGTGCTTCTTCCCCACATGAGAGCTGGGATGTCCAGCAACATTCATCTAGAAGACATTTCCCGCACTCAAGGCACTAATACACCTCCAGGGTTGTGTGGGATCCCTGATGTACAGGAAGACAGGACTTCACTGAGGAACAATTCTCCTCACTCAGGACAGGAAACAGGCTTCTCCCCCATGTGAGATCTCTGATGTCCGTAAAGATGAAACTTCTGTGAAAAACATTTTCCGCACTCAGGACAGGAAAGAGGCTTCTCCCCGTGTGAGCCCTCTGATGTCTGGAAAGATTGAACTTCTGTGAAAAACATTTTCCTGCACTCAGGACAGGAATACAGCTTCTCCCCTGTGAGATCTCTGATGTCTGTAAAGATGAAACTTCTGTGAAAAACATTTCCCGCACTCAGGACAGGAAAGAGACTTCTCCCCCTTGTGAGCCCTCTGTTGTCTCTAAAGATGACATCAATGAAAAACATTTCCCGACTTTTTGCAAAAAACATTTTTGCCAAAACATTTCACTCAGATCAGGGATAAGGTTTCTGACCTGTGTACAATCCCTGATCTTTGTAAAGATTGGACTTCCTTGAAAAACATTTCCTGAACTCAGGACGGGGATACAGATTCTATCCCGTGTTGAGATCTCTGATGTCTGACAAGTTCTATTTTTTGTACAAAACATTTCCCGCACTCATGACAAGAATACGGCTTCTCACCCGTGTGCAATCTCTGATGAATATAAAGATTCGACTTATGCGAAAAAACACTTTCCGCACTCAGGACAGGAGTGCGGCTTTTTACCCGTGTGAGTTTTCAGATGCATGTTAAGGTTGTACTTCTCTGCAAAACATCTCCCGCACTCAGGACAGGGATACGGCTTCTCCCCCGTGTGAGATTTCTGATGTCTGAAGAGATGACAGTTGTTTGAAAAACATTTCCCGCACTCAGGACAGGAATATGGCTGCTCACCTTTGTGCAATCTTTGATGAATGTAAAGATTGGACTTCTGTGAAAAACATTTCCCGCACTCGGGACAGGAATACGGCTTCTCACCCGTGTGAGATCTCTGATGAATATAAAAGTTGGACTTCTGTGAAAAACATTTCCCACACTCAGCACAGGAATACGGCTTCTCACCTTTGTGCAATCTCTGATGAATATAAAGATTGGACTTCTGTGAAAAATATTTCCCGCACTCAGGACAGAAAAATGGCTCTTCCCCCGTGTGAACTCTCTGATGATTGTAAAAATTCAGTCTTGTCTGAAAAACATTTCCCACACTCAGTACAGGAATATGGCTTTTCCCCGTGTGCAATCTCAGATGTTTGTAAAGACTGGATTTCCATGAAAAACATTTCCCGCAATAAGGACAGGAATTCAGCTTCTCCCCCGTGTGAGATCTCTGATGTGTGACAAGCTTTGATTTATTTACAAAACATTTCCCGCACTCAGGGCAGGAATACGGCTTTTCGTCTGTGTGAGATTTTTTATGCTTATTAAGCCCGGATTTAGAATTGAAACTTTTCCCGCACTCAGTACAGGAGAACCTCTTCTCTGTTGGAAGGCCAGCCCGGTCCCGCACAGTCTGAGGTTCCTCAGGATACGAGGAATCCGATGGTCCATCTACACTGGGTGGTGCCGGATGGACATTGGAGGGAGCCGGGTTTTCTCCTGGACTATACTGTGTGATGTCCTCATCTTCTACTTTCCAGTCTGGAGACAAAGTGAGACAATCCTCTGAGGTTTTCCTCATCTCCCGGCCATGGACTAAAATACAAAGACAAAAGAGGATTACTAGACAGGAGCTGACTGGTTCCCCCAAACCAGGACTCTGCCCACATCAGGCAGCTTGGTCTCTGAGGTGCTTACAATTCCACCCTCAAGAGAACTAGGAAATGGCTCCTCTGATCTCCTACCAGGTCATTTCTTTATTCATGGACCTTAGTCAGAGAGTGAGGAAACAACCAGAACTGTCTTTTATAGGAGGGACAGTGATGAGGGGATTATAGGACGAGGGTCCCCACCCCCTCTATCACTCATCGCCATCTTCCCAAACAAGAAGTACTGCACTTCCTTATTTAGTCCATGATTTAGTCATGAAGAACAGCGGGGCTGAGCCCCACCAGAGGTCAGAGAGTGAGGATGGGGGGAGAAACCAAGATGAAGACTGGACTGATCCTGAAGACCACCATCATTGGGGTATTGACTCCTCCCTCATTATCACTTTCTGTTTTAGGGTCCAAAGTTGGAGGATGTTATCACATTATTATCACCATGTAAAAGTCTGTGCTTCAATCACATCATCCGATATAAAATGTCCAGCTGGTAGGAAATGGGGTGGAACAAAATGTATGTAATGTACGCACTCCTATGGGAAAACGCGTTTCGGTTTACAAATTTTTCGCATTACGAAAAGTCCCGCAGAACGAATTATATTCGTAAACTGAGGTACGCCTGTAGTTCGCTTGATATATGCTCTTGATGGACGGTGTTAACTTTATTCCTAAATGCTTTAATTTTTTATCCTGCCATTTAAAAGGAAATTTTTCTTGTAATACTTGTCTTTCTACTTTCGATATATTGATATCTAGAATCTCAGATTTTGCAAGATTAATTTTAAAATGTGATAGTTCTCCATAATGTTTTAAAGTTTGCATTAAATTCGGCAAAGTTATTCTGGGATTTACCACATAAACTAACATATTTCTGCCATTTTATGTTCTACTTGTGCTATCTGAATCCTTTTATATCTAAACGTTTCCGTATTGTGTTGCTAAAAGGGGCTCCCTAACACACACAAGAGAGGTGAGAGTGGGCATCCCTGCCTCGTTCCATTGTACATCTCAAAAGACTCCGACAATGTACCATTACAACTTTACTGCTGCTGATGGGTGACCATATAAACATTTTATCCACTGAAGCATTTTTGGCCCTAATCCTATCACCTCTAAAGTGCTCATCATAAATCCACAATCTACCCTGTCGAATGCTTTTTTCGGCATCTATCAACAGGAATAGAATTGGGGACCTCCCCCTATTACTCTTTTGTAAGAGCAATAAAGATCTCAATCTATTATCTCCACCTTCTCTTCCTGGTATAAAACCCAACTTGATCTAGGTGTATCAGCTCTGGCATTAGAGCTTTCAACCTACTAGCAATATACCAAAAAAAATAAATAAATATATATATATATATATCAGGGGTCAGAAGTATATAATGTACAATATATATAGTGCAGAGGTCAGGAGTATGTAAAGTACAATATATATATATATATAGTGCAGAGGTCAGGAGTATATAATGTACAATATATATATATATATATAGTGCAGAGATCAGGAGTATGTAATGTACAACGTATTGAAAAAAACTGTAGTTAGAACTACAGTATATAGTATCAGGAGTAGGTAATGTATTATTATTATTATTATACAGGGTTTATATAGCGCCAACAGTGTGCTCAGCGCTGTACATTATAATGGGAGACAGTACACGAGACAGTACAGTAACAATACAATACACGAGGGGTTCGAGGGCCCTGCTCCTTGGAGCTTACAATCTAGGAGGGAGGGGATAGTGGTACAGGAGGAAATAGCTGTGGGGGATGGAGTGGTAGGAGGAGTGGAGGAGTTCAGTAATTAGCTGAGGGGGGTAGGCTTCCCTGAAGAGATGGGTTTTCAGAGTGCACCTAAAGGTGAGGAGAGTAGGTGATAGGCTGATGGATTGGGGCAGGGAGTTCCAGAGGATGGGGGAAGCCCTGGAGACGGGCATGGGAGGAGGAGACCAGGGAACTAGAGAGTAGGAGGTCTTGTGAGGAGCAGAGAGTATGTTTTGGGTGGTATTTGTATACCAGATCGGTGATGTAGTTTGGGGCAGTATTATGAACAGGTTTATATGTACATGTATCATCCTACCCTAGGTTGGATAAATTAAGTTTTGGGCTCTTCTGGAGCAGCAATCTATTTTCTATTTCTGGATGGATCTCACCAAGTCTGGTGGTTGATTGCTCCTGCCTGCCTCTGGAAGAAGCTTCCAGAAATAGAGTAGGAAGGCCAGCCACTGGGTTATCTTACCTCAGCCAATCCCTGGGAGGGGAATCCTAGAAGGTGGCTGGGGAAAAGATAATTGTCTGAGAGGGCTGTTTAGAGCCCTCTCAGTCCTGGGAGGCAACCTGTGTTACTCAACAGCTGTTGCTATGGGGCCTCAGCATGTACTTAGCTGAGGGTCTGATGGAACCTAGACATTTAGTGGGGGGCATTACTCTGGTACCTGGGCTGGCAGCCCCTGCACAGGTAAGGGAGACCCACTTATTTCCAACGGCCCCTCTAGGGGTGAGCGCTACATACCATAAGAGTATGTAGTGCAGGGCCTAAGATTACATAATGTACAATATAAATTATACATTGCAATGGTCAGGACTCATAATATGGTTTTTCAGTAATCATCAGTAATCTAAATGTTTACTTAACTGAGACAAGTTGCAGAGGTCCCACACTGCTGCCTCCTATCTCCTGAGACTGCACTCAGTGACTTGGGTCTGAGACTATACAGACATATCCCTCCACCCGGCACAGCCAGCAGACCACAGAGTAACCCTGGGAGGTTTGTCCTGTTAGAGATCTTACTAGAACTGGGCATGGAGAAGAAGACTCAAGAAGACCCAAGGCCCCAGGTGCCTAGGTACAGCAATGAACATGAACAAAATCAACATTATTCTGCCAGCTGAACCCCAGAATCTCCATAAATCCAGTCTAGATACATAAATTGTGTCTGCAGCACAGAGAAGGAAGATTATCCGAGAGAAATCCAGGAATACAGGACGGGGAACACAGCTCAGGAAAGTGACCAGGGGATTACAGGCTGATATCACCCAGTCCCCGCCCTACTCTGGACCAATCAGTGAGCAGTATGGGTGGAGGAATGGATTTAGTGTTCATGACCCACCTGTGCTGATCTCTGTAGGAGTGTCCTCCTCTATAAATGTCCCCGTTATTCCATCCTCCTCCATAGACTGCTGATCATCCCTCACATACGCCTCTTCTTCTTCTGATTTAACATCAACTTTAGGATCTCTCAGGTTTCCACTCTGAATATATAATAAAAATGCCATCAATGGTAACAATGCAGATAATGTACAGATCCTAATGATACTATCAGTGATTGTTCCTCATCTACCTGATGATGGTGAGGGATGGTGTGACCTTCCTGTGTGGAATCCTGGGAATACAGAGGACGGGGACATCTCTCTGGTGGGTTCCTGGCATTAGGCGGCTCCATCATATCCTTGTGTCCTTCTGAAAACTCCTCCATCACTCCATACTCCTCATCCTCCTCTTTAAATTCCTTCTTGACAGCAATATTATAATCTTCGAAGTTTCCATTCTGAATATATAATAACACATTCACTGTAATGCTTGTGTATAAATTACAACCAGAAATAACTGTCAATCATCTACCTGATGATGGTGAGGGATGGTGTGACCTTCCTGTGTGGAATCCCGGGAATACAGAGGACGGGGACATCTCTCTGGTGGGTTCCCATGACTGGATCCATCTGTAGGAAACACACACACTGACTGAATCCATTGTTTCTATGTGTTTATCAGATGATGGGGGATCTAGGTGGATCCTCCGTACTGCTCTCTCCTTTACAATAAAGTCTCCTCTTACCCGGTGATGTGAGGGGCGGCTGATTGTCCATCATGACGTCCTTGTAGAGATCCTTGTGTCCTTCTAAATACTCCCACTCCTCCATGGAGAAATAGACAGTGACACCCTGACACCTTATAGGAACCTGACACACACAATGATACAGTCACCATCCAGACACATCCCTTGTCTGTTACTGGAGAATGTCCCAGAATTCCCGGCACCGCTCACCTCTCCTGTCAGCAGCTCCATCATCTTCTTGGTGACTTCTAGAATCTTCTGCATGTTGTGTCTCTCAGGTTTTAGGGAGTCACATGGAGGCACTGTGATGGTCATATGATCACCTGACTTCAGAGGAGGAAATCTCTGTATTGAGGAACCAATAGGAATATCATGTTAGAATCCCAGAATCCTTCTCTCCTCTCCGGTCAGGTCTGTGTGATGTCATGTGACCTCCCAGAATCCTCCTCACCTCTCCGGTCAGGTCTGTGTTTTATTAACCACTTGCCCACCCGAGGATTTCCCCCCCTTCATGACTAGGCCATTTTTTTGAGTTACGGCACTGCATTATTTTAACTGACAATTGCGCGGTCGTGCAATGCTGCAGCCAAATGAAACTTACGTCCTTTTTTTTCCAACGAATTGAGCTTTCTTTCGGTGGTATTTGATCGCCTGTAAGTTTTTATTTTTTGTGTTATAAGCAAAAAAAATACCGACAATTTTGAGAAAAAAAGCAATATTTTTGACTTTTTGCAATTAAACGTGACCAGTATAAAATAAAAAAAAAAAATCAAATTTCATCATAAATTTAGGCCAAAATGTATTCTGCTCCATGTCTTTGCTAAACAAATTCCAATACGTGTAAATTAATTGGATAACGTGAAAGTTATAGCGTTCACAAATGGCTGGGATTTTTTTTTCTATTTCTAATGGCAGTGATCAGCGACTTATAGCGGGACTGCGACGAAAATTCTGACACTGGGGAGGAACTAACTGTCACTGACATCCCCAGTGACACCAATACAGTGATCAGTGCTAATAAAAAGCACTGACACTGTACTAATGGCACTGGGCAGGAAGGGGTTAACATCTGGGGTGATCAA